TCCCCTCGTAGGAGATCAGAGAGACGACCAACTTGCATCAGAAATGCCTGTTCGTGCCCCAGGCTTTGTTCTGGCTTCACTGTGCAGGAATCAGAGAGGTATGAACTCCTCTCTCCAAGAATCTCCTGTCGGTGGCAGAATTGGCAGCTGACCACAGGGAGGGCTCTCGGCGGACACTGTGCATTGAACTCAGTGTTCACCTCTGGGTTCCTTAACACAGGGGATGACCCCAGGCCAGGCTGCTCGCAGCCCCGATCACCTGCCTCCTGGAGTGTGGGATGAAGGCCCAGGGGCTGTGGGGCTGCTCACATGGCACCCATGAGGCACGCGTCACAGCGGGCCCAGGCCCAGGGGCCATCTCCATGCCATGGCTCTGTGGCAGGGTTGGAGCTCAGGGGGTCATGATGATGGGATGCTGCCTTCATTCTGGCTTACTGCTTCAGATAGACTCTCTCTGTAATCCCTGAACAACCCTGTAAGGTAGATGTCACCATCATTCTCAAGATCATGAGTGAAACTAAGCCCAGAGAGGACAAGGAAACCGCCAAATCATTCACTCATCAGGACCCCAGAGGGTCTCGGTCCAGCACACTCTCCCTCAATCCACCCACAAGCTCTATTGTCCGGCTTCCCCCTTGATCTTCCTGAAAAGTGGCCATGGCATCCCCACCAGTGCCCAACGACCCCGTGCAAATCCACCAAAACAATGTCAGATGGATCTCACAAGCCCTGACTGCCAACACCCTGGGCCGAGGCACACTCCATCTACCACAGATCAGGGCATGAGGCGGGAGGCTTCAACGAGAACATGCTCCTAATTCCAGACCCGACCTCCCCAACCTTTCAGGACCTCGACCTCTGACAGCAGACAACTGAGAGACAGCTGTCGCATGGGGACTCACAGATTATTACTTTATCCCCTATCACCTCTAGAACTTCCCCTTCCTGCTGTTAGATAGAAGCCACCAGAAATCGCCAGTCCAAGCTACCGGCCATTGCCAAGGGAGGTTGGGCTGTGGAGGCTTCTAGAAGGAGCAGTAAGCACTTGCAGACAGAAGGCAAGGCCCAGGATGGGGCAGAGACTCATGGAGACACTCATGGTGAGAAGGTTTCTCCCAGGCCTGCTCTTTCCAGGGGGCCAGGTCTTCAGTGCAGACCGGTCACCAGCACACCCCAGCAACATCCCTTGAAGACCAGGACTTCAGGAAGAAAAGTGAGACTCGGGGGACTTTGATTTGGCTGAAGCTCTTCAGCTTGGTTGGAAAATAGGCAAAATTGTTTTGTACCTTTCGATAACTGGCAGGAGAAAGGCAATGTTTGGTTTTCCTCCTCTTTTTTCATTCCCTGAATCAAGTTTACCTTGAAGCCCAAACACTTAAAACTTGAGCACTCTCATGTCACAAAACCCAAACCTGCTCCCAGCCACTCACAGGCCATCATCAGAGCCGGAGCGGAGTGTCCCAGCCCTGGGAGAACATCAGAGTCACCGGGCAGACATCTGTGTTCAAGATGGAGTAGCCAGGCAGGAGCTGGGCCACAGGGTTCCTGGACACTGGCCAACAAGCTGCACAGGACCGTGACCCCTGAGAGGGGAAATGAGAAGGGGGCCCAACAATGGTCCCCACCTGGAGCAGTCTCCACGCTCGGGGAGGGAAGCTCCAGAGACCCAGGGGCCTCTCTGAGCAGGGGTGGCAGAGACAGGAAGCAGGTGACCATGCTTGGTGAAGAGCAAAGAACTGCGAGGAAAGATGACCAGCAGTGGACAGGGACCCCAGGGGTCTTTGGATAAATGCTGACCTGCACCTGCTTGAGAGATAACTACCTGAAGAAAGAAAGAATAAAAGCTACTAGGAAAGCGGTAGGTCAGACCGTTGGACCCCACACGTCCCCACCAGCCCAGGTGCAGACTGACCACACCTGCGGCATCAGGTAGACTCCTAGCAGAGCTGACTTAGGCCAAGCCTCAACACCATGGATAGTCCTCGGCTGGAGGGAGGGAGCTGCCCTGTGCCTTGGCAGGGTGTCAACAGCATCTCTGGTCTCCCTGCTGGAGCCAGGGGCATCTTCCCCCAAGATACCCCAACCCCAACGGCTTCCAGACCTTAACATATATCCCCATGGTGGGGCACAGAACCATCCAGCAGTCTGACCACTGCTCTGAGTCAGACGTGCTTTGGACCTCAGCAGGACTGAGCTGTGGCCAAGAGCTTGACCTTCAGCCAGAACAGAGTTCAACCCCATCCACAGGAATACAACCGAGTCAAGATACAACCAAGCAGAAGTCACAGTGTATCAAATCCACTTTAAAACTGCCTGGTCTGCCAAAGAGCAAGGCAAGACCACCCAGGTCAGGAGGAAATCCCTCAGTAGAAACAGGTATTTCAATGACAGAGACCTTGGAATGAGCAGAGCTCGACCTTGGAGAGGCATGGCCAAATCGTGACCTCCATGTACAAAAGCTTTCCCTGGTTCACCTCGAGATGAAGCGTGCTACAGGCCATCGCCTATCAGAAGACAGATGGCCTTGGCTTGTAAGCCCCAGCCTATGCCTAGGATCCCAGCATCTCTGCAGCCAGCTCAGAGCCACTCACCGGTTCTGGGGACACAAGCATATCATGAACTCTCCGTGGCTCCCTCCTCAAGCTGGTGAAAACGCCCGTGCTCTGCTTCCCAGGGAGCCTGGGAACATGCCCACGCTTGCCTGGGGACAGCAGGCAGAGCTCAAGTGCGGGCCTAATCCGTGACCCAGTTATGGCTTTGTTGATGTCTGAAATTCACATGCAGAGGGAGAACTGCCCTTAGCACACCATGTTCCTGTTAGTTGGGGGCATTTTAGAGTCGCTGAGAGCTGGGCTTCGCAAATATGAGCACAAGACTCCCTAGCATCTTGTCTGCTTCCCGCCCTCGCTCCCTCCTAGCCAGCAACTTTTCTCCTGGCTCCTGCTGCAGGCAGTGGAAGGAAGGAAGAGGGTGGTGGGGGAGCGTCCCAGGGCCGCAGTTACTCTGCCAGTCCCAAGTGAGAGGAGGATTCTCCAGGCATTCACACCAGGCTGCGGTTTTGGAAAAGCCTATCTATAGGCCTTGCTCTCAACTCCAGCAAATCCGCAGATTCTCACAGGGAGAATTTGAAGTCTGTGAGGTTTTCACGGGAACAAGCCTCCCCAACTCACTTTTACTGGGAAACCTATTAGATTAAAGAAACAAGTTTATCCCAGTGAACCTGCTCCTTCCTCACCCCGTGGGATACTGCGTGGTGAAGCCCAGGGCAGGTTAAGGATGGGCCTCGGGGCTGATGGAAGAGGAGTCACCGGGCCAAGTCCAAGGGCAGCACCCAGAGGCTGTTAATTGGGCTCACTCATCTGTTCAGCTTGGGAAATTGAGCAAGGAGGTTTGCTTCTCCCTGGTTTCCTCAATCAAATGCTGTTGACATGCCCCAGTGGGAATAAGAAGACCAGTTCAAAGAATATGGAATAATTTAAATTCTGAAATGTTTGCTACTAAAAGTTGAGCAAAGCTCCAAATTCAGAGGCACAGATCCCGTCCGATGGTTCTCACATGGGCCTGTCCCCGAGCCTGGAAGCAGACCCCGCAGGGACCACCTCTCACACCCTAGACCCTGAAAGCAGCCAGTGGCTGGGTCTGTTGTGGGGGAGGGGCCTGGACTCATCTCACACTGGTGGCTCCACTGTGGGCTGTGAAGGATTAAGCCACAGAAAAAAATGTGGCCGTGACAATCAGTGTATTCCAGTATTTTACGACCTCCTTTCGAGGTGCACATCATCACCTTCAGTGTGGCCGTAATACTGAGAAAACAGATGAAGTTTACGCATGAAAAAAAGCGGGAATGCAAGACAGGTTTAAAGTAGAGCCATGAACACTGTTGTAAAAATGCATGAAACGATGATTCAACAAGTTTTTCCCCCTCTGGAGGACTGAAAAATAACCTCAGTAAAAATTATAGAAAGATAAAATTCTGTCCCCATCTGATTAATTACTTGTGAATAATAACATCTCTGGTTTCTTTCAATTATATTCTAATTGCACACCTTTTGCTCTGGTTGATTGGGCAATGAAGTAATGAACAACTATTACTGAATTTAATTAACACCATTATTTCTGTGGCCTTTCCATCTCTGTTGTGAACATGGAAATTCAGACTCCCGGGGCTGGGGCTGGAAGAAGCCTGCCATGAACCCTGCTAAACCTGTTCCTTCCACATTGAGCTGGCTCCTTACTGCCAAGCATGGGTAACAAAAGATCTGAAGTATTTGCCAGCATTCATGAGAAGGCTCTCCTAATAACAGCATCAATATTCAGAAAGGTTAGCTTTTCATAAAGCATTAGCAATTTGCATGTTGCATTTATCAAAAGAGATGGGCAACTGAGCTACCTAGGAGTCAATTACACTGTCATTCATAATTTATTCCATGTACAATAAAGAGCTGATCAGATTTCATGTGTGTTTATTTTCTGAAGATAACTGCTTGTGGCTGATACCAGTTGCAGAATACAAATATATTTTAGAGTAATGTGTCTATTTCACTTGGACGTTTTAAGTCTCCAAAGTTCTCCTTTTTACAACAGAGTTTCTATGCTTGGAAATGAGAGCTCACCCTCAAAAAAATAGAAGTCTATCCCAGACTCATCTCATTTTAACTGGATCAAGCAAGCCATACAGATTCTCCCAAATAACAAATCAGGAAAACAAATAGGAATTTGTTTTTAAGACAGAGCTGACAGAGCTAAGAATTCCTAGCTCACAGAGTGCCCGGCAGTTTCTAAATGTGGATACGATGACCCACTGCAGACCTTTGGAGAGCTATTAAATGTTTGTAAATGCAGATGATTGCCGTGTGGAAGTTACATTCATCTAATATGCACTCCCCAAACCACCACCAAGTTGCAAAAGCTGGAATAAATTAAAAGATAAAAAATTCTTCTCCATATCCCCTGGGAAAGACTACAACATATGAGATTAACGTATGAGACCAGATCAACACCTGCACTGTCCGAGGACACACCGCAGCTGCATCTCTTGGTGCGCAGACAGCTCCCCCCGAGTCCAGCCGTACCTCATATCTGCTGGCTGGCTGCTCTGCCGTCTTCAGGCCTTGACACAAGTGGATGATACAAACTTTGGCTCTTCTCTGGGAGGGAAACCAGTTACTCTTCACCAAATCCATGACCATCACATGGTTTTTCAACTCTGTGCTGAACGTCTTTATTTGAAAAGTCTGATCAGCAGCGAGCCCCTCCCCAGGAGAGGTGCTAGGCGTCCCGGAATGCAGCATGACACTCGGAATCTTGTGACTTCAGTGAGCTGGCCTGGCAAACACAATTTTCTTTGTTTCATCCAGGTATTGAGTGCAGCAGGAGGGGTTTGGGAAGCGCCAGCTGGGGCAGCTCTGCATTTCCCCTCCACAGCTGCGCTTCCGAGATCCCGTGGCGAGAGTGACCGACGTGGACGCAGAAACCTCGCAGGTGATCTTTACAGGCCACAAAAACCTTCTCAGGCTGCCATCTGACCAACTCCAGTCTCACCTCACGCCTGAGCCCTTGGGTCACTCTGTCTTCTCTGATTTCAAAGAAACATTTTTCTTTGCCGCTGCATTCAAGTTCTGAACGCAGAATTTGCCTGGTTACCAAGAGGCTCAATGTGCTTTTCCGTCTCTAGGCCCTTAAATCCAAATAAATTATTTACAGAGCTGGGTACAAAGGAACCAGGAGGGATAATTGCAGCTTTTCAGAATTCCTACTTTTTCTGGCCAGGACTGAAAGGAAAAAGTATACACTGCCTACTGACACAAAGAGTGTCCTCAGCCCTGGAGTAGATAAGAGACACATTCAAGGCATAGAGAGAGCTCCCGGCACACAAGAGACGGCTGCGCGTGGGCACGGGAACCCAGTGCAAGTGCGAGAGGCTGCACTAGCTCCGTGGGGCTGTGGTCCTTCCAACATGGACGGCCCCTGGCGGGTGGGCTGAGCCTCGGTTTCCCCAGGAAGAATGGCGGAATAAAAAAGTGCTGTCTGCCACCCACAGGGCTGTGCTGAGATGTGGTGAGCTGTAAATAAGGAAAGACCCCGGGTAGCAGAGTCGCCATGGACGGGGTTCTCCAGGTACAGTAGCACATATTCTGCCCAAATTATTTTGCACAGCTCTCTCGCAGCACATATCAGACAGTGCAATGTGGCATGGTGGTAAAAATGATTGGCGTCTGAATTTCAAATCATTCAGAAACGCAGAGCAAGACGCACATCTTACTTTTTATGTTGCATGTTTGGGTGCCTTATCTATTCGGCTAGTATTTTAGAGGTGAAAATGAGAAGTCTGGATCAAAGGTGTACACCAGGAGGAAGCAGATGACAAGCACTAAAATGGTTTCAACTCTTCTCTGAAGGCTACTTTCTTTTGGCTTTCTGCAAAGATGAACCCCTTGAAAACCCAATTCACCTGCCCGATCGCAAGCCTGGGGGAGGCTGATGAAGGGCCTGGACAACTTTGCTGGAAGTGGACCTGCAGATCCTTGCCCAGCACCTTTCTTCTTCCTGCTGTGGGTTGGAGCTCTGCAAATCAGCTCAACTAGGACTTGGGCAATGGCAAGCTAAACCTCCACCTTCAGAGGCAACAGAGAGGTTGAATCTGGAAGTAAAACATGGAAAAGACAGAGGAGACTTCAGAGGCCATTACAGCCAAGTGCTTCATCTGAGTGTGAAGAAAGACAGACCATGGAGACTAAATGTGGGCAAAATTCAGAGCCGTGTTCCCTGTTTCTTCAACAGAACACGCCCGCTTCTGCCCGTGGTTCTCCTAAGGACGTCAATGCCAGTGTCAAGGCCCAGCAGGGGGCAGTTGGGTGCACTGAGAACCATGCAGGAAACTCCCCAGTGAGCTACACTGTGAGGTCCATCTGGGACTTGGAAGATGGCCAGGGAAGAAATGCAGACAATGAAGAAAATAAACAAGGACCTCAAAGAAAGAGGGACTCTGCCTCCTGTTTAGGCCTATGAGGGCCAGTGCCTGGGCCCCCAAGTCACCATCTGAACCAGCTCATGGTGTTGGCTCTGTTCCCAGAACCCTGCAGGTCTGACAGCACCACCACACCCATGCTGAAGGACCCTGGGCAGGTGGAGGCCACCAGGACTGCCCACCAGCTCTCCAAGACCAGGGGGAGAGGTTTGCTGAGGGTTGACTGAATGACTGCGAGTGAAGGCCACGTGTCACAGGCTGTCCAGAGGTTCCAGAGTCACCAAGGCTCTGGGTGACTTTTCCCTCTCCCTGGACTGCAAGTGGCTGGACTTTAACTGGCCAATGTGGCCACAAGAGGAAACTGCGACATGGCCTTGCAGAGGCCACCAGAATTCTTGGGCTGGATAGAAGCCTTGGGATCATAAACCAGCCCCCTCATACAGGGAAGAAATGGAATCCCAGAAGGAGGGAAGTTTGGCTAAGGGGTCAGCAGGCTGGAAAGGGCCCAGATGGATAGCTGGGGATGGGTTTGCACGTAGGCTCCAGGACACTAGCATGTGGTATGGACACGGCCTCTCCCCTCCAGCTTCAGTCCCTCTTACCCACAAACCCACGGCCATTCTAATACTCTGGAGCTGAGGTATCTGCCCAGACCGTGAGTAGACGTTTGTTAGGAGAGAGCAGCTCCCCACCTGCGGCAGGCCCTCCTCCGGCCCAGCAGGGCGGTGCCCTCCACAGTGCACTCCCTGTGCCTCTTGAAGCAGGTCTCTGAATCAGGAGAGCCAGCTCCCTCTGGCTCTCACAGCGCCCCCTCGGGTGCCGTGCGGGCTCTCCTTGACTCGGGCTCCCTGTCCATACCACAGGAGACGGACCTAGCTTCTGTGGTGGGCTACCAAGAGGACTCAGGAGCTGGCACAGTGCAGTGCGTGCCATCGCCCAAGGGGCAGAGACCTTAGAAACAATCACAGCTGGAAGCATCGTTTTGATACTTAAAAGAGAAAATTGCTAAGGACAAAGAGGAACTGCCCTCATCTCCAGGACCCCCTGTGCCAGGCAGTGGCACCCAGAAGTGGGCAGGGAGCCAGCCTTGACTTCCTCAAATGAGAAGCAGAGACAGCGCCTGAGGAGACTGCTGAGGGCAGGAGGTAGCCGCTGTATGGGAAATGGTTTTATAAATAATGATCTTTAGAGTCTTTCAGACGCAGATTTTTAATGCTAGCACCAAAAGACAGCAGGGGACCGTCCGTCCCTTGCAGGAATGTACGCTGAGCTAGTTCCCACTCATAAGACCCAAAGTCAGTCACTGAGCACGAGGGAGCCAGGCAACGCCCTGCCACTGCTCAAGGACACGGAATACTTTGTGGTATGCTCAGAGCCCTGTCCTTGGAACCCTCCCCTGCCTCCATCCCAATGTCCCCTAAACCCCCATGGGAGCTGGCCTATCTTACACCACTGCACGCCCCACTCACTGGCTGGCCAGGGGTAGACATCTGGCTCAAATGGGGCTAGTTGGACTCTATCCTCATGTGGCCTAGCTGTCTGCATGCCCCCCAAATTCACGTACTAAAGCCCTGACCTCTGTGTGGGAGAGGGTTCTTCAGGAGGTGGTGAGGCTTAAATGAGTCCATGAGGGTGGGGCCCTCGTGATGGGATTAGTGGCCTTAGGAGAAACAGAAATCTCCTCTTACCTCCTCTCAGAAACGCACGTGGAAGGCTACACGTGAGGACAAGGTGAGACGGTGGCCACCAGCGAGGCAGAAACCATCATCCTGAGGACCTACTCACCTGGTACACTGACCTCAGACTTCCAGCCTCCAAAATATGAGAAATACTCACCAAGCACTTAAATCCCAAGTCACGGCATTTTCTCACGGCAGCCCAGGCTGGCTGAGACAGTCCTGGAGGACCTTAATACCGGCTTCACTTGACTGACCTAGGAGGGACACCCAGCCCACAGGAGGCCGATCCAAGGCTCTGCTGGAGCACCTGGATCCCGGGACTGCACAGTATGGGAGGCCGGCTCCATGAGATGGCACGTGTGGGGGACTGTTGGTGCAGATGGCAGCTGTCACAGAGAGGCAGCAGTCAGAGATGGGAGCATTAATGGTGCTAAAGCCCTGGCTCCTGCCCATCGTCATCCTGTCTGGGGTTCATGAGAGATCCTGGTGCTTGATGACCCTTTCCCCATAAGACGTAAGTGACTTGACTGGGGTTCTACACTTGCAACAAGAGAGCGTGGGCTATTCTTTGAAAATCCACACATTAAAAGGATACAGAGTGCTTCTGTGCCAGGCCATAGCAGGTGACAGAGACCTAGGGATGAAAGGGGCCCTCCATATCCATGAGGTTCACTGCTCTGCAGTGGGACCGAGGCCTTGGCCAGCAGCCAACACAGGAGCAGGTGCACCCCTGTGAAGGAGGCCCCGAGAATCCCTAGGAGAAGGGACATGGCGAGGGATCTGGACTGGAGACTGGCTGGCAGCTGAACTCTACGGTTGGCATTGCAGGGCCAAAGTCAGCTCTAGGCATCCCCCTCCACTCTCGTCACGCATCTGGTCCTAAAGCATTCACGGCTGAGGATGGGGAGGCCGAAATTACTGCTTGTTTCAAACAACTTCCTGGGTCCTCTGCTGTTCCTTTTCTAAAACAAGTAACTCAGTCAACTATAAAAGTGAGACCTCTGATCTTGTTAACATCCCGCGGATGATCCCATTTAATTTCCTTTAAACTGGTCCCTGGGGTGACAGGCGGAAACTAGCATGGTCCGTGATTACCATCCAATGACACCAAATCTACACCAGTGCACCTTGAAATGTGTTTACTGCTGAAATACACGGAGAATGAGTCCATCCCTCCCCCTTGCTCCTGGTACAACACGCGGGGCTGAAGGATAGGCATTGAAGTATTTAAATAATGAATTATTCAAAAAGAAAAGGAACTGCAGGTACCTGATGCCAGAAATTCATGCCTGTGAATTCTTAATCTGTTCTCCAATGGGATTAGCATTTACGACTGTGAAGGATGTCCTAATTATGCAGCTTCAGAGTTGATTTTCTGCAGGGCCTACGCACATCTAAAAAGCATTAGGCAACAATAAAAACAGATGACTATGAATTTCGGAATTCGTAATTTAGTTTCCCTTTTGGGGGGAAATGACATTTTTATTTATGGGCACTTCACTCATCAGGTGGCTCCTGAAGTTCTTCTTCCTCCGAGGCCCCCTGCTCACCGCCCGTGCATCTGATCACCCTTGTGAGGAAACAGACACAGAGGCGATCCCAGCTGCAGACAGGATGGTGTGGCCATTCCCACGTGTCCCTGCGGCTCCGGCATAGGAATAAGGCAAGAGGACCAAGGATCCTGTGGCTCGTGACAGGATCTGTGCTGTCAGCCGGGCGAAGCTCCATGATCTCTCGCCACCCGTCTCAGCCCTGCTCAGTCACGGCCTGGATGTGCTGGGAAAGACACTATCCCTTCAAGTCACCAGAGGCTCCGAGAATTCTCATTCAATGGATGGAAGGAAATTTAAAAGGATCCATGATCTCACGTGTGTACCTATCTCTGTTCTGTAATCAGAAAACATTTTTCTACTTCTTGTACAATGTTCAGAAACCAGGCCGATTTGATATTTGGGAGTGGGGGGGCAGGCAAAGGAGAAGCTGGAGCAGGAACCTGGCAATCTTGTCCCATTTACCCAGGATATTCACCTGTTCCCCACTTGGGCAGGCGATCGGTAATCATTTATTTAGCACCCACTGGTGTCCAGAGCTGTGCCAACACTCCAATAAAATATTCAAACCACTTCTAATGTTGCCGAAAACCAAAGCGACTTGCAGGCAGGGAGAGGTATATCTCTCCTTCAAACCCACAGGGAGAAGTGAGTTATTT